ACACGCGCGGCGAGGACGAGGAGCCGGAGGGGGCGTTCGGCGAGCGGTGGCGGGAGCGGCGCAAGCAGCCGGAGCACGCGGCAATTCGGCACCACTACCAGCAGCAACGCGGTGGTGGTGGCGGTGTGCCGAAGTGAGCAGCAACGACGCGAAGCTGAAGATAAGAGAAAAACAAGAAAAAAAATGCAAGAAGTCTCGTTTTGTTTGTGTTTTGTGTCCGTGCGTCTCCTCGTGGGTGGCGGTGTTTAGGGCGTCACGCACAAACAAGTGCCCACGTTGCCTCTTCGTGTTTCCCTCGCCCCTGTCTTGTCGTCGCGGTTGCTGTAGCGGGTGCCCCCACCCCCTCTGCTCCGACTAGAGAGAAGGTAAACGCCTTTAGCTAATGGGGAAAGAAAGACGCATACACATACACACATACCTACATACGTGTCTTTGTGTTTACATTTGAGAATAGTAGAGGTGGAAGAAATATATGTCCCATAAACTCGGGCGTGCGGGGGGAATGGCCAACAAGGAGAAGGACGATGAATTGGGTGTTGCTGCGTATCGCGGCTACAGCCGCACGCCGATGCAGCAAGGGCAGGAGTGGTGGTACAACAGTAGCAATGCCCTACCCTCTCAACCGACTCTTCCGTCTACTACCAGTAACATTGCCACCACCACCACCACAACAACAACAACAGCAATTCCTGCTTCTGACGATGATGCTGACAACAACTACCAACAGGACAAGGTTTTCTTCTCGGTGTTAGACGTGACGGACAGCCGCCGCTACAAGGTCTTTCTGCGCCCCGACGACATCTCCAGGCTAAAGGTCTCCAAAATACGCAAGACGCTCAGCAGTGCCGCAGGAAAGCCACCCTTCTCCTTTGATCTCTGGGTTGGTGATGAGGTGCTGCTCGATAGGGATGATGCCAGGTGTGCTGAACTCGGCATTACGCCACAGACGGTGCTGAAGATGTGCCCAAGCGGCGAGTTGCCGCAGAAGCAGGTCGAGAGCAAGACCGGTGGTAAAAACAGCAACTTTGGAGAGGAGGAAATCGCATCTGTTGCTGCTACTGTTGAACCTGCGTCTGTGACAAGCGTTTTGCAGCAACTCACTGATGCAGCATCGGAGGCACCTCTCGCGGTGGAGCTGAACGAGCGGCAGCGAGCACTACAGGCGCAACTGTACGAAGAGGCGAAGCGCTCTCAAGTCTTCTCAAGGGCGGCTGGTTGGAGCCACAGCAGCAGCAGCAGCAACAACAAGAACAACGCCGATGGCGGCAACGACGGTGGTGAGGTCCTTCCAGGTCACTCCGCGGTGGGTGACGTGTCGGATGGTAGTGTTATGGGCGGGCACACCCGCGGCATCGACGACGGCTTCACTGACTTTTTTGAAGAGATTTTGGCGAAGAAGACGGTGCCCACGTCGCCGTCATTGCCGTCCCCAAGTGGCGTCGACATCAAGGCGGTCTTGCTCGACACAGTCGCTCAAGGGGCGCACTATTACGACACATACTCCCACGCAGGCGCCGAAAGAGGTACAACGCCACCGGGTATGGGTCCTGGCGGTGCTCACATGATAAGCGGAGAAGAGGATGAAGAAGAACGAGTGGGGGAGCTATCACGGGGAGGATATATTACTGCTGGTGGAGAGAGATGTAGTGGCTCAGCGCCGACGTGCGGCAGGGAAGCTGAGCTTGTGGAACTAGTGGAGAAGCTGCAGGACGATGTTAGCGACCTCCTTGCCCTGCATGTGCGTGATGAGACGACAAAGCAGGCGCTGCAGCAGGAGCTCGCCTCGTCACAGAGGCGTGTCTGGCAGCTGGAGAAGTCTGAGCAGCAGGCACGGCAGCAGCTCAGTGCCCTCCTCGCGGAGCTGCAGCACGCGCGCAGCGAGAACGGTGAATCCGTCTTCCCTGAGGAGCAGCTTCGGGCGGCGCTGTGCAATATGGGGGTGGCGTACCACAACGAACTCCTCCTGCGCGAGAACGCCGCGCTGGAACGACGGCTGGCGCAGGAGTTGCGCAGACGACTCGATATGGCGCTTATACTTGAGGACATGAAGGGACACATCCGCGTGCTTGTGCGGGTGCGGCCGCCGCTCCGCATTCTGCGCGAGCGGCACATCATTGTAGAAGAGGCAGTAGGAGGAGTTTCCTCCAGAGCAGATGAGGCACGCATGGTGGCTGACGGGCAGCGCAACACGGTTACAATCACGGAACCGTACACGGGGGCACGGCAGTTCAACTTTTACCGCGTCTTTGCGGAGAGTGCGACGCAGAAGGAGGTGTTCAGCGAAGTCGCGCCGCTTGTTCAACTTGCCTGCGAGGGCGTCAACGTCTCAGTGTTGGCGTACGGGCAGACGGGAAGTGGCAAGACATACACCATCTTGGGTCAGGAGGAGGAGGAGGAGGAGAAAGAGAAGCAGCAGCAGCAGCAGGGCACATCATCGTTGACAAGAGATGACGCCGATAAAAACAACAACAGCAGCAAAATCAACGGTAATGATAATAATACTGGCGTCAGACACCATAGTAACAACAATGACAACAGCAAAGAGGCACCCAACGAGGAGGAGGAATTGGAAGCGGACGACGATGGCATCGTACCGCGCACCATCCGCGTGCTGTTCCAGCATCTCCGCGCAGAAGCAGCGGCGGAAGCGGCAACACTATCGCCCGGTGACGGTGAAGCCTCCGCGTCCATGTTTGAGGTCTCCTGCAGCCTGCTTGAGATGTACAATGACAAGGTGCACGACCTGCTGGCACCGCCGCAGGTCGTTGTGCCAACGTTCTACGTTGGCGGCGCAAACACCGCTGAGCCACGGGGGCCGGCGTGTGTCGCGCCGCAGCGCAGCGTAAAGATTGGGCAGGACGGCCGCATGTACGTTGTCGGTCTCACGCAGTGCGTCGTGCGTGATGCCTGCGATGCAGTTCGGGTACTGCGCGAAGGCGCCTCGCGGCGGCAAGTGCACGCGACGCAGCAAAATGCCACCTCGAGCCGCTCGCACCTAATCTTCACCATCCACCTCGCGCAGCGGCGCCGCAGCGTCGTGCAGCGTGGCGGTGGACGAACGGCCACCGCGTCGGTCGCTTACCGGCGGTTGGAGAGCAAGCTGGTGTTCGTCGACCTGGCAGGGTCGGAGCGCATCGCAAAGTCGCAAAGTGTCGGGGATCGTCTGTTGGAGGCGCGGCACATCAACAAGAGCCTCTCGGCGTTGGGCGACGTGGTGGCGACGCTTTCCACCGCGGCGTCAGCTGCTGTTGGTGCAGGGATGACGCACGTCCCGTACCGCAACAGTATGCTCACGGGGCTCCTCCAAGACGTGATTGGCAGCCGCAGTAAGACCGTGCTGGTCGCGTGCGTGGCTCCAAGTGACCCGCCGTACGAGAATAATACCGCCGAGACGATGACCACGCTGCAATTCGCCAGCCGTGTGCGCTGTGTACGGAACTTCGCCCCGCCGCTCCCTGTGACAGCAGCAGCAGCAGCAGCAGGTGCTGGGGGCGGCGCTACCACAAAGGGTCCAGCAGCGCAATGCACAGAGGCAGACACGGGGGCGCAACGCACCACATGCCCAGTGGGGCGTGGGGTGGCGAAGCTGTGGATGAGACCAACAGAGTCGTCGAAGTCGCGCGCCGGCGCAGCAGGACGTCAAAATGCTGGAGGAGTGGTAACCATCAATGATCCAGAGAGGACTGGGGAGAATAAACGGGCGCAGTCACCGGTGCCTCCCCAGCAGCAGCAGCGGGGGAATGATGGAAATACGGAACAGAAGCCGCGCATGCGCTTCTAGATGTCACCGAGAATGCAAGAAGAGACAAGCAATGAATGGGACGTCATTGCTGCTGCTGCTCCTGGTGATGCCACAAAACTAATTTGCTTGACCCGAATTCTTCCCCATATATTTCCCCTCATCCCCAAAGTTTCATTCTTTTTGTTTCCTTTCCTCACCTCGAGGCCTTTTTTTGGCTTTCCGTGTGACTGGGTAGCGTATTGTGGACTGTTCCCCCATCGTATAAGTGTTCGATCATCTGATTTTCACATCGAATTCATAGGTTGAGTGGTCACAGAATCAATTATGAATGTTTGTGTCAGCAGTTCGGTTTGTCCTCTTTCATTTGGGGTCTATATGTTTCCAAGGTCGCACGCACACAAATCCAAACGTATATACATATGTACTTGAGAGTGATTAAAAAATGAGTAATGGTGGATGGGTTCCTTTCACGGGCGGAAATATGCTGAAACAGGATGACATTCCATTCATCCTCAAGAGATGACAAGAATTAACATCCGAAGTGCGCCAGGTCATGAGAAATGTAGACATCTTATGCTCATGAAAAACTAGTGGGGCAGCAGTTCTATTTGTGGTACCACATTGGAAGAATCAATGTGGCTGTACTCCGGCGAATGGTTTTCTCAAGACATTCTATGTGATGTTGAAAATGGGTCCTGGGATAGGTGCATACTGTTGGTGCACGCAAGTTTGCGTGTGCGGCGTTAGCGTTGTCATTATGATCTATCTTGGGGGTGGGGGTGAGGATTGGAGGTCTTTTGGGGGGCTTCATTAGGCTGCTGAAGTTAAAGGCATACCTGACATTTCAATGAGGCATTGGGAGTGAAACTCGATGAGGCGCGCATTTCAGCTCTGCTGAACCGTGAAGCTGATATCTGTTCACAGCTCGTGCCCCACGTTGAGAGCGCTGGCAGGGCAATACGGCGGTGTGGGATGTTCGTTACCTCTGCCTCTCTTATTTGGTTACGATTCAGCTTCTGTAGTCGTATGGTTTTTTTTGTCTTTTTCTGTTGATTCTCTGGTGGAGGAGAGTTTGTCTGACAGGGCGTTGGAAGAGAGAGAGAGAGAGAGTGTGTGTGTGTGTGTGTAAACGTGAAAGAGGATTGGGGAATAAATGAACGCCACACTTTCCGGCTCCCTTCTGTTCGCCCAACACTGTGTCCTGCGACCATCTGTCTTCTCATAAGAGGGAGCGAGAGAATATAGAAAGCCAAAGTGGTGAAAGGAAGAAGGGAATGTTTAAGTGTGCAGTGAACCCTTGCCTAGCGAGCCCCACTGCTGCTGCTCCATCGCTTTTGGGGTATCCGCTGCGCCACGCGGCCGCGATGGAGATGATGTATGGCGGTGTGCGTCTGCAGAGTCTCGCGCAGGCACCGTTCCCACTTAAGCTGACGCAGTCGGAGTCGCTGCCGTCTCCGTCGCTGCAGCGTGAGCGCGATGACCTGCAGCTGGAGGTGAAGGATTCCGCCAACAACGTGATGGGGATGCGCCTCTTCCCCGTTAACATAGGCGCGCGCGCACGGAGTGAGGCGGTGCGGCTGCGCAGCGAGGACTGCTACCGGCGGCTGCTGGCGCAGCGAAAGTGCGCAGCATCAGGAGTGCCGCTACAGTTCCCTGCGTCTTCAGGTGTGGCTTTAGTAGAAGACGGCACCTCTGCCGCGCACAGGCGCCGCCACGCGACGTACTTTCACCCACCATCGGCGAAGCTTTCCCTTTTTACACGTCCCATCGACTGCGGCACAGCAGCAGAAGCAGCAACGACACCAGCCGGTGTGGCGGTGTACCACCCACGCGCGTGGAGGCCGCTTCAGATGCTGAAGCCGATGCCGCACAACTGGAGTCCTGCTCTGCGCTCCTCTGGTATGCGTGGGCCGCACATGCAGCTCATGCAGGAGCGTCTTGACGGAAAGGGTTTTGGCTGGAAGCGCAAGTCACGCTCACTCTGGCAGCAGGATATCGCCACTGCTGGATTTAGGCCTAAGCGATTCTTCTAGTGGGCGTGCATTGTGTGTGTGTGTGGGGGGGGNGGGGGGGGGGGGGGGGGGTGGAAGTATCGTCGACGATGATGACGTTGTTGTAGGGTGTGGAATTTGTGTCAGTTGAGAGAAAAAGAGAGGCTTCTAGGGCTGTGGTGCCACACATTGACATGAGAAGATGAATCGTCTTCCGAACTGAAATATGTGTTCGGCGCGCTATTTCTACTGCTTCCACCATCTCTTGTCACGTTCTAATTCCGTATCTCGCTCTTATCCTTTGCTGTTGTTGTTGTTGTTTGTTTTCAGCTAGTTGTACAGTGTTTCTCTTTGGCTGGCACATAGGTGTTATTCTTTGCGGCTGGACATGCACGGGACTAGACAACACTGAATCATATACACCCTAAAGGATAAGAAAGGAAATGGGAGGTGATTCTGAAGGGGGGAGACCCAGAATAGGGCACATGCACACGCAAAACGAAGGAAGATGAGAAATTGCATCAGGAAGAGTGCCTCGCTTCGGCCTACTCTTTGGTGGGCTTTGTTCCACTTTGTGTTGTTGGGGGGTGACATCAGCTGATTTCTTGTGTGACGGGGGCTTATTGCCTTAATTCGTATTAGGGCAGCGCCCCGGTCGTGCTTTTGTTCATCATCGTTGTTGTTACCTTCTTTTCGTGAGGGAGGGGGTCGTGGCGTGGAGACTCACGCTCATTCTCTCGACAATTCCTGGCTGTCGTTATTTATTTATTCTTCTTTTTGTTACCCAACAGCCCCTTTTTCCCCCTCTTCCAGGTGCCGTATTTCATTGCTTTAGTTGGCCGATTCCTTGAACTGTGAGGATGTGTGTCTTTCTTCTTCTTTTGGGGCTTCTCTGTTTGGTTCTTGTGTCGCGTCGTGTCTCTCATTATCTGAGCTCCCTTGGTTTGAAGATGCGGCACGCGCGTGGCAGCAGACACACACACGCACTGGAGTGAGGATAGGCAAGAGATCCCTGCTCGTTTTCCCCGCGTTTGTTTTGATTTCTCTTTGCTTTTAGTTCAACGACCACTACTCCTATTCGTGGGCGTGTTGTTTTGCTTGTTGCCTGGATTTCAGGTTTTGCTTCTGGCTGGTTGATTGGGTTGGTGGACTGACAAGTTTTGCTTCCTACTTATATGATTACTTTCTGTTGGGGGTACGACCCTTGACCATTTTCTCTCGGTGGCGCTCCTCCTCCACTCTGTCTTTCAGAGTGCACATTGCCACAACACGTGCCAGATTCCTTCTCATTACCACTCATATTATTGTTATTATCAGTGGCTCTCTTTATTGAGTGGCTGAGTGTATCGCAGACACTTTTGCTTGCTTTGGCAGCTGAGACGGGATTATTTTTTCTTCTTTAGAGGGGCTCCTCATTTGACAGTGCACGCGGAGTGCGGGACTGTGGTGCCTGCGCTGGAAGCCGAGTACCCGAGGGGATCGGTGTCACCCACACTTGTCGTTGCCGCTGGTGCCCCTGCGGACACCACGTTCCACGTATGCTGGAGCACCGTCACATACACATGCATATCGACACAAAAAGGCATACCATTTTTGATTGCCTTTGTGTGAGTGTGTGTGTGTGTGTGTGTGTGAAGTGGCATCGTAGGGTGGATCGCTGCAGAGCGTCGCTTGCTCATGTGCTCACTCCATCGTTGGTTGTTTTCCTGCCCCATCAGGGCACGCTTCATCTTGCTGAACGTGTACAGTTAAGAGAAAGAAGAAGAAAAAGGATTTTTTTAAAAAAAGAGAAGGAATCTGGCCCAAAACGTGCGAGAGGTATTTTGGGGGTGCCGCCACCGTTCAGAAGATAGGCGTGACTATTAAACCCAAGCTGGCAAGTTCTGTTTTAATCAATGAACGTCAACACCTTCCACGCGCAGCAACCGCAGCCACAATATCCACAGCCTAGCAATTCGCAGTATCTGTTTACCCTTTGCTCTTTTGATTCGGCGGCACAGGGGTCTTCCAACATGGTCTCCGGATTTTACATGCCGCAGGACCCGCAGCAGCGACAACAGCTACAGCAAAGGCAACAACAACAGCAGCAGCAAGAACACGCTATGGCGACGTCGCCCTCGATATTCTACACGAGCAGCAACGGTAGGAATGAAACGGGTAGCAAATCTGCTCCATCGTCAACAGCATTTTCTGCACTTACACACCCGGACCGGAGAAATACAGAGGCAAATACTTCTCTGATGTCTCCCTTTCAAAACCCGAACAATAACAGTGTGATGAACTACTCTAACACAAACCTCAATTTCCTATCTTCACAAAACAGCATACAACCTGCCAACTTCGAGGCGTCATCTTCCACGTTTCTGTACTCGATTCCTGTGCAGCAGGAGGCTGCAGGGGGCGGAGACGCGGCACCGAGGTTCATGTTTCTGACGTCCCCGAGAAAGAATGGACCCGATTCGCTGAATGGCACATGCTACTACATGGTGGACGCACCCGGTGCGTCCGCGCCTGTTAACTGCGCATCGGCTGCTTTATCGTCAGCGCAGCCCTCGACGGTTCTCCTCAGCTCGACCTCGCCCACAGCGGCAGCGGCCAACGCAATGGGGACCACGACGACGCGGATGCCGCCTTACCAGGTGCCGACGGCGCATCAGCCGCAGCCAGGCGCAAACGTTCTGGGTATTTCTTGGGCGCCGCAGTTCTCCTCTGGTACCGGACCCAGCACCGCGCCGTCAGGGGTGCTTCCGTTTCTTTTCTCCAGCCCGCAGATCGCGCAGGTGGATAATGCCATCTTTACACAGCGCAACCAGCAACAGTCTTATTGCACGAGCGCTGCCTTTGGTGTTCCGGCTTCCTCGTCAGTCCCATCCCCCCTGGGCAGCTGTCGACGTGGCTCGAACAGTGGTACGCACAGCGACTTGGCTGTACAACGGGGCAAGAGTAGCAGGAACAGTGGTAACAACAGCGGCAGTGGTAGCGGGAGTGGTGTTCAGGAGGGCGAACGCCGTGGTGGCTTGCCGTTCGATAAAGATCCTGTTCCCATCGACATCACCAAAACGCAGCTTATCGTCAATTACCTTCCGCAGTCTCTCACCGATGATGTTTTCCGTGGGTTGTTTTCCAGGTATGGCCTCTTGCACAGGAAGCAGACGAAAATTATCAATGATCAGGTATCTGGCCGGCGCAAAGGCTATGGGTTCGTGTATTATAAAGACGGACGAAGCACGGAGGCTGCCATCAAGGCAATGAATGGCTTTGAGGTGGGAGGGCGTGCGCTAAAAGTTCGCTATGCTGATCAGCAGCGCTCAACGGTTGATTGTGACAGTTGCCAAGGTGATGATGAGGTGACTGTGGACCTGTGCGAAAACGCTGAAATGCATGCAAGCAGCTGTGGTAATGAGGACGATAGTCACTGAGATGTGGGAATACACTTCTCGGTGGGGTGCGGGGATCGCTGGATGGCGAATATCGGCACGTCCGAGGATGGAAGCCTTTCAGGAAAACAGCGATGCTATAAAAGGGGCACAAAGAAAAATTAGCGAGGATGTGGGCAGGTTTGAATGCTCCATTTTCTTGTTTGTTCGGTTTGTGGGCTTGCTCTACACCATTTTGTGTTCCGTTTTTTTTTTTCGTTGTTGTTGTTTAGATTCTCCGGTTCCATTTGTATTTTCGGCTCCATGCTCTCACGGAAGGCAGCGCCATCATCAATGATACCGATGTCTGCCCATATTTTTGGTTAGTTTCATTTCTCTCTCATTTTTGTCATGTTGCACATGTCAGACGCACACACATACACCTCTGCGGGAGTGTGTGTGTGTGTGTGTGTGTGTTGGTATATGTATATGTGCATTTGTTCATTTATTTATATATATATAATATATATTATATATTATATATACGCAATTATATACCACCAAGATTTATTTATATATTTATATATATTTATA